TTTAAAAATTGTAACTTCAAGGCCCTCTGGAGCCCAAACGAAGCAACTTTGTACTAAGGTAATTTTACTTAAATCGACTTATTTTGGTCTAATGAATATGTGGTATGTTTTTGTAAAGACCTTTTACAGACACCCTGTATATTGTTAAAAACACATTTCAAAAGTTTATATAAAGATTCATTGACTGGCCCTGGATTCCGAGGTATAAATCTTACGGCGCTCCACTAATATATTAAAACAAAAAGAATATTTGTTTAACTTCCTTTTTTATACAATAAACTTTCTTCTTAATAGAAATTTTATTTAAATCATAATAGCGATATCGCGAAATATGTTCTCTAAGTCTGGCGACGTGGTTTCATTTGTCATTTTAAAACCTAAATCCTAACCTCGTTTTCAATTTCAAATCGATATTTTGATTTATTTTAAAATTTAATTTTTTTAAAATCGCCAAGGTACAAACTGGATTAAAAGAAGAATCTTTAGACAACTTTCGCAAAGGTGGATTCTAACATGATTAATGATTTTTTATATAAATAATATAAAGATTATTTGCAACGTAAAGACGACAGTAAGAACACTTTTTAAGCTCCAAATTTTTCTATCTAGAATTATTGTATTGGAAGTGCACTAGCATAGTTCGGTTACCATTTGTAACATTAAAGCTAGAATTACCCAAAAATTTGAAAAGTTTATAGCTTTATTCACTAATAAATGAACAAAAGGAAAAGGTTGTATCTTGTATATTCACAGAATATTCTGCTTTCGAAGGTAATTTCAATTTCAAAAGCTCAAAATACTGTATTAAATGATATTTCATGGTTCTATTTTTTTGAAGGTGGGTGAAAGCATAGTGTTGCTCTCTTGTTGTGGCTTCTGAATTCTAAACACCATCGAAGTGAATAACCTTCCATCACATTCACATTGTGCTACAAGAAAAGGCCACTGTTGTCAAAAGTTTAAAGTTCTAATGATTTGAGGGTGTCGATTCTTTTTCGAATTAAAAACATTAAATGTGTGCTTTTTATAAATAATAGTAAATAAATATATATCGAGTATAAAGTAACCAAAAAATTATATTTTCATATTCAAGTTCAAATATTAGAAGTTTATTTTTGATAAATGATATTATGATGCCAGGAAATATTTTTTGGAAGTGTTATGTATTTATAATGAATTCAAATAAAAATAAGTTTTGTCGTTTTCTTTATATTTATTTATCAATTGGCTATTACCGTTAATGTAGTCTTTTAAAAAGGTTTATTTATGGTACGACACTGACATTTTACTGTATAGGTCTATTTTTATGTATGAGAGAGTATTAAAATAATAAAGCGTTCGTTATCCATAGGCGTATCACTTTTTTGAGTAGACAGTTAAAATATTTTTTGAAGTTATTCCTCGAGTATACACTTATATTTTCACCTAATTAACCTGCTTATAACTTCTAAACAGCTGAAGGTAAAAAAGTGCAATTTTTTCTAAAATGTTTTATTTTTCCACAAGGTATGTTAAGAACATTGTGTCAAACGGGTTATGTAGGTATAAGGGTATAAACTTTGACTTTTAAACAACGTTACGTTCATAAATAATAATTTTAATATAAAAACTACTTCTTACCTACAAATCCAAATCAGAATCGAAATCAGAAGATGAACTGTCGCAACCAATATTTACAATAAGTGGCTCGATTATTTCATCAGTAATATTGTCCAACTTCCACATTTTCTCTTCTTCTTTAATCGTATGATTTACTGCCTTTTCCCAGTTTTCAGGCTTCACATTATTTACAGCCTCCAAAAACAACTGTTTAACATCACTCATTTTAAAAGAATTATTTTTTCTTGAAACTTCTCCCTTTATCTGCTCCCATATCAGTTCAATCGGGTTTACTTCGCAATGATATGGTGGTGATCTAACCGCTATCATCCCACGATTTTTTGCAATTTCATCAATTTCATATTTTTTGAATTTCTCTTTATGAAGGGAACACAAATGATACAGTTCTTTTCTCACAGAACCGGGATGGAACTTAATATTCTTTGAATTTAGCCAATTCTGTAAATCTTTTTTTAACCACTTGGTTGTGGGCATTTTTTCTATAAGTCTCGAGTGATAACTTGCATTATCCATTACTATTATACAGTTCTGAGGAAGAAGATATATAATTTGTTCGAACCACTCTTTAAAGACATCAGCATTCATGTCCTCATGGTAGTCACCGGTACGAGTAGATTCAAAAGTCAATAAACCACCTTTAACAAAACCGTTTGAACTACCGATGTGTACTATTATTAGTATGCGCCCCTTTTCTGATGGTGGATTTAAACCAGTAGATAAATTATTTAAAAAAGCCTGTCTTCGACTTGTAACAGTTTCATCTTGCCAAAATTTATTTGGTTTATGTCCCTCGTTGATCCATGTTTCATCTAAATAAAATATATTTCTTCTTTGGTTTCTCATTTCTTTTATAGTCCTTAGGTAATTTCTTCTCCATACTACAATATCGCTTCTTTCTATTAAAATAGACTTTCTGGAATGCTTTTTCCATAGAAAACCTATTTCTTTTAAAAGTTTTCATAGTGTGCTTCGACTCATTTCAGGGTAATCCTTATCATCTCGAACTGTGGCAAGAACTTTGTCTACTGTCGGAAATTCTTTTCTAAAGAAGAACTCGCTACATTTCTCTTCTTTAACAACTCTGTAAATCGTAGATTTCCCAAAACCAAGCGTACTACTAACTAATTCCACTGTGTCTTCAACACTTTTACATAAATGTTTGTCTGTAAATGATTTAAAACAATTAAATAATTATGTTTTCTTATTAACTGTTAAACGACCGATTTTTTGTCGTTTACGCGGCCCTTCCAAATTTTCCATGATCACACTAGAATTCACACTGCACCTTGCAAGTTGCAACTAAACGACATTTAGTAAACCGTCAAGAATACACAACTTGGACCTCCTTACTAAATGGAAAACCTATAATCGCATTGTCGGTGAAATTTGTTGGGAAGGTATGTATCTACTTATAATTCGATTACTGTAAGAAATTCTTGGAATTAAAATAAAACAAAATTGACAAATAGGTACTTATTGAAAATAATCTTAAGATACGGCTATGTAATCTTTAATACTCAGGGCTTTTGGCCTGTCCAAACCTTTTTCTATTGTTCTGTACAGCTTATGTTTATAAAGGACCAATAAAAGACCCAAAACTTGTAATAGCTCAGGTACATTTATTGCAATTTTAGAAAATATTTAAATTATTCTGTAAAAATATTTAAAATGGCCGTACTAAGTTTTGCATTAGAAATGCTGTTTTATTACTCTCTCATACATAAAAATAGACTATAACAAGTGCTCAATATGCAACCTAATATATGTTGTCGTGTTAGCAACCAGTAATACATTTGGTAATGTTGGTTGCCTACACTAAGTAACAGCTTATACTACATTTCCCCCTATAAGAACATACCACAAATTTAAAGTTGCAGAAATACAATAACATAATACAATATTATAAAGTTACAGCTGCATTAGCAGATTTTTAACTAAAATAAATTGTTATTCCAATATCATTACTAAACACTAACAATTTGGATGAACTAAAACTAAATTATCGTTACAATACCAGTACTGACTACTAAAAAGTTAGACAAACTAAAACTAAATTAAACTTATTCAGTTCTTGTGGGTCTAGACATAAACGTAAAGATTTATTTTTTTTTTTTCAATAATTCCTATATTATTTACCCACTCACTAGCTCCCTCTACCTTAGCAATAACTTTTTTCCTTTCCAAATCTTTGAGGGTATTTTTTAACCTATCCTTTACAACTAATGGTAAACGCCTAGTAGGTCGACCCACAGGTATACTACCTTTTTTTAATGTTATTTTACATACATCTTTAAATGTGCCTAAACCTTCAAATACATCTTTATTTTTACTTACAAATTTTTCTATATAATTGTCTACATTGACTAACATGCTCTGCGTTCTTTTTATAATCCCTAATTCTAGACATACTGTCAAGCCAATGATTGGTTTTACATTCAAATTTACTACTAAAAATTCTAAATCTAAGCACTTATCTGATGTTTTGCACTGCAGTATTATTTTTCCTGTTGGCTTGAGTTTTGAACCACCATAAGCTCTTAAAGTAGTTCTGCTCTTCTCTACTTTGAGTGACCTACTTCCACAGATAAGCCCTAATATCTTTTCAGGTAAAATATTGACTTCTGACCCTGTATCAATTTAAAATTTTATTTGTTTATCAAAAATTTGTATGTTTTCTTCCTATGTGGTATTCATTCTGTGTTATCTCCCAAAAAGTGGCCAAAGGGTTCATCAGACTCCTGTAATCTGATATTGAAAACAAATCTTTTATATGCCAGATTTTTTCTCGGAGCACAGTGATGTTTGAACTGTTCTATTACGTCATCATATTTTTCTTTGCTTTTAGGGGTAACGAACTTAATCGTGTTGAAACTTTCAACTCCTTCTTCTCTAATAGTGTTTAAAAGCAGTGCTACTTTCATCTTGTCAGCCTTTGAGTCTTTTTCTACTGCTATTAATGTATCTATTCTCCTGGATTATCTCAAACAATATTTTTTTCAAATTAAAAAATATATTAGTTTGTATTTATGTTACTTAACTAGAATTAAATATGTATTTACTTTGTTTATATAAAAATGTACTTGATCTATACATTTTCTGATAAGAAAAAATGTTTTTAATAATATAAATGCATTATGTAGAACAAAATATAATTAATAACAAAGCAAAAATAATTATAAACAATTCGATATACTTGAATGCCTTTTTAAATTATTTAATATACCTAAGATAAGAAAGGTGGGTTTACACAGACCTAATTATAATTGCACCTTATTACGAACTGGCATAAACAAAAATGTATCTAAAAAATACTAATTAGAGCGTTATCTATAATTATATTTATTAAGTAAATAGATAAGAATATGTTAAAATGATTTTAGGTTTACAACTATTTTTCGTTATTAGTTTCACGTCTGTTTTCGTGAAGGTTGCTGCCAAGATGGAAAAACCAATTGTAGTGCTATCCAATCCCACTATCCCCTCTCCGGGAATTAAAATGCTCATCGAAAAGGGGTAAGTCCAGAATTATTTCATAAATTTATATAAAATCACGCAGGTGTTGCATTATTAGTGTTAAGAGACAAAGATTTAAAAAATAAATAATAATAATAATAATAATAATAATAATAATAATAATAATAATAATAATAATAATAATAATAATAATAATAATAATAATAATAATAATAATAATAATAATAATAATAATAATAATAATAATAATAATAATAATAATAATAATAATAATAATAATAATACTCTCCCTAATTCACCCCCTTACGAGTGAATTTTAACCCCAAAAGCTGAGCTTGTCCGGGGAAAGGGAAATGAAAGATAAGACGGAAGTAAATTGGACTAGCCATACCAACCTAAGGAATTTTAATACTGGTGATATTCGACATGAAAAACAGGCTTATTTAAACATTGTTCTTAGAGAAAACAATTCTAAGACTATCTCTAAAACGCCCTAAGATCCTTAGAAATTCTTAGTAAAAAACCAGTCCTGATATTCCATCCAATTTAAGAAATATATTCTGTTCATTATCCACTGTTTGCTTTCTAAATGTAACCTATTAGTCTATCTAACTTGCGTTCTGTTAGTATTCTACCGACCCTCTTTAAATCGTTTGAATAAAGATCAAATTAGCAAATAGGTATACGAAGACAACATATATGGATAAAGCCACATACTTTGTTATTCTGGATCAACAAACATTTTGCAAACATTTTGAATTTTATGGTTTTTCTCAAAATTATGTTTGCTTCATAACAAATTACTAGCTTTGCCTTTCTCACTGCATATAGCAAATCTTCATAACTTTATTAAAAACTGTGTGATTCATCATTATGCAGATGACGATTGTCACAAATATTGTCGAATTTAATATTAGTATTAGTAAAATTGCTTGCGATATTAGCTAGTGGAATGAAAGATTTCAAAGTTTTCCACATCTCAGTAGGGTTACCCTGGTTTAAATTTAGTTTAGTTTCCAAGTATTTGCTTTTTTCATGTTTAATTATATTCACTGCTTTATTCCTATTACATTTATATATTTGCCAGTTTTCCTCTGATTTGTTATTAGTAATGTGTTTTATAACTTTTATCTCTCACACTAGTAGTAGCTTTAACCTGATCATTCCACCAGTTCTAATAATATTGTAACGATATTCTAATTTATTTATAGTTTATTTATTTAAAACACACTATTTACAATTTATTTATGGCGTACTATTTAATTTATATAATAGTTAGATACTAACTAACAATTCTAATTTATTTAGTACACTTTAACTTTTCATTCCAATACTCTATACTAAACTGTCTGTATACAACTGACTGCTATCTTCAAACTCGCGATATTTATATCAAGCCAAATTTGTAACCAGTATACTTTAGACTGTGTGGAATGTCCTAGTCTTTCATCTCTATGACTCAATGTCACGTACCTACCGCTTGTTCTGGTATACTCAAGAAGCGTCTGATTGTCTCTATATTGCCAGCGCGCCGCTAGACTCTATACCGCTGAAGTAAACAAAGGACAGGGTAGGCTTTCGCGCGACAATATGGTAAAATTTTAATTTTTTTTTGGGTGACAACTTTCAAAATTTTATTTACAAAATCTCTGTATATATTCAGTTATATCACTCGTTTAATAATGAATGATCACATACATTTCAGTATATAGTTCCCTATAAATAATTATATCTATCTTGTAGATACAATGTTAAAATAGTCGAAAAAGAAGACAGAGCAAATATTCTGGAACTGATTCCTGGAGCACACGCGCTATGGTGGGCTTCAGCTTTCAAATTGGACAAGGAAATTCTAGATGCAGCAGGTAAGTTCAAAATACTTAGACTAATAGTATTTATGTACTATCAACTCGAGTTTAGGATCTCAACTAAAGATGATCGGCACCATGTCAGCGGGATACAATCACATACCAATTGACGAGCTCAAAAAACGTGGCATTAAACTATCAAACGCACCTGGAGTGCTTAACGATGCTGTAGCAGACGTAGCTCTACTGCTTTCTCTAGCTGCCGCTAGAAGATTGACTGAGAGCAGATGGGCCATTGAAAAGTAAGTATATAATTCACTTTTTACAGAGCAACATTTTTTAGTTTCCCCTTTTTGCAGTCCTATAATCTTACAATTAGTTAAGTTACAATTATTTTAGTTTAAACCAGCGTTTCTCAACCTTTCAATTAGAATTTTTATGCCCCCCCTGCCTTTCTTGTTGATATACGACGTATATTATACGTTAAAAATGTTGACCCAAATCTTCTTAGTGCGGCGTGTTGTTAGTGCCCTGAACCCCCAGACTCTAGACCTAGAGCTCTAATATATAACTTACAGACCTTCAAAATTACCGAGAATAGGTGAATTTCTTGCAACTTGGCAATGCCGCTCCGCTACATCTCATATATGTAAAGCCTGAAGATGTTTCTCATCTGCTCTCTGTTATTTACGACGGATATCGAACATTCTCGCGGCTTATCGTCACTATGTGAACTTTCAACCGTGGTTTCGATTTGTTGTAGAATAGTATGTACGATTTGCTCGACAACGTGTGTACTGTACTTAGTTAATTTTTTTGTAATGTCAAAATGAATATCATTTTGCTTTTCTTTTTTTTTATTAGAAATTAACGCTTTTTTTATTTTGATGTGTTAGTGCCCCCCACGTAGAGTTATGCCACCTCCCTAGAGGGGCGCTCCTACAGATTGAGAAACGCTGGTTTAAACATATTATGTACCCAGATTTGGGAACATTTTAAGTCTGTCTTCTTTCTGTTCCATGATACAAAAATAACAAAAAATAACTATTATATCTAATTCTCATTTTAAAATATAATTTCGTTTGGCCAATACGAGTATACACAGTAGTATCATTACAGCGACAAATGGGTCACAAATGATTGGAGATGGATGTCTGGAATCGACGTAAGGAATAGCACAATTGGTATCATCGGCTTGGGTGGAATTGGAACAGCAATAGCGCGTAGATTCAAAGGTTTCGATGTCAAAGAAATTGTATATACGGGTCACAAAGAAAAGAAAGAAGGTGTCTATTGTTCTTTGTTTATAACTTTTAAGTATTTTAAGTATTCATAGTTACTCATAGTTACTCATAATTACTCATAATTACTCATAATTACTCAAAATTACTCAAAATTACGCAAAATTATTTATAATTACTTATAATTACTCATAATTACTAAAAATTACTAAAAATTACTAAAAATTACTAAAAATTACTCAAAATTACTTATAATTACTTATAATTACTCATAATTACTCATAATTACTCATAATTACTCATAATTACTCATAATTACTCATAATTACTCATAATTACTCATAATTACTCATAATTACTCATAATTACTTATAATTACTCATAATTACTCATAATTACTCATAATTACTCATAATTACTCATAATTACTCATAATTACTTATAATTACTCATAATTACTCATAATTACTCATAATTACTCATAATTACTCATAATTACTCATAATTACTCATAATTACTCATAATTACTCATAATTACTCATAATTACTCATAATTACTCATAATTACTCATAATTACTCATAATTACTCATAATTACTCATAATTACTCATAATTACTCATAATTACTCATAATTATTCATAATTACTCATAATTATTCATAATTAATCATAATTACCCATAATTACCCATAATTACTTATAATTACTCATAATTACTCATAATTACCCATAATTACTCATAATTACTCATAATTACTCATAATTACTCATAATTACTCATAATTACTCATAATTACTCATAATTACTCATAATTACTCATAATTACTCATAATTACTCATAATTACTCATAATTACTCATAATTACTCATAATTACTTATAATTACTCATAATTACTCATAATTACTCATAATTACTCATAATTACTCATAATTACTCATAATTACTCATAATTACTCATAATTACTCATAATTACTCATAATTACTCATAATTACTCATAATTACTCATAATTACTCATAATTACTCATAATTACTCATAATTACTCATAATTACTCATAATTATTCATAATTACTCATAATTATTCATAATTAATCATAATTACCCATAATTACCCATAATTACTTATAATTACTCATAATTACTCATAATTACCCATAATTACTCATAATTACTCATAATTACTCATAATTACTCATAATTACTCATAATTACTCATAATTACTCATAATTACTCATAATTACTCATAATTACTCATAATTACTCATAATTACTCATAATTACTCATAATTACTCATAATTACTCATAATTACTCATAATTACCCATAATTACTCATAATTACTCATAATTACTCATAATTACTTATAATTACTTATAATTACTTATAATTACTTATAATTACTTATAATTACTCATAATTACTCATAATTACGCACAATTACGCATAATTACTTATAATTACTCATAATTACTCATAATTACTTATAAGTACCTATAATTACTTATAATTACTTATAATTACTTATAATTACTTATAATTACTTATACTTACTTATAATTACTTATAATTACTTATAATTACTTATAATTACTCATAATTATTTATAATTACTTATAATTATTTATAATTATTTATAATTACTTATAATTACTTATAATTACTTATAATTACTTATAATTACTTATAATTACTTATAATTACTTATAATTACTTATAATTACTTATAATTACTTATAATTACTTATAATTACTTATAATTACTTATAATTACTTATAATTACTTATAATTTCTTATAATTACTTATAATTACTTATAATTACTTATAATTACTTATAATTACTTATAATTACTTATAATTTCTTATAATCACTTATAATTACTTATAATTACTTATAATTACTTATAATTACTTATAATTACTTATAATTACTTATAATTACTTATAATTACTTATAATTACTTATAATTACTTATAATTACTTATAATTACTTATAATTACTTATAATTACTTATAATTACTTATAATTACTTATAATTACTTATAATTACTTATAATTACTTATAATTACTTATAATTAGTTATAATTACTTATAATTACTTATAATTACTTATAATTACTTATAATTACTTATAATTACTTATAATTACTTACAATTACTTATAATTACTTATAATTACGTATAATTACGTATAATTACGTATAATTACTTATAATTACTTATAATCACTTATACTTACTTACAATTACTTATAATTACTTATAATTACTCATAATTACTCATAATTACTCATAATTACTCATAATTACTCATAATTACTCATAATTACTCATAATTACTCATAATTACTCATAATTACTCATAATTACTCATAATTACTCATAATTACTCATAATTACTCATAATTACTCATAATTACTCATAATTACTCCTAATTACTCATAATTACTCATAATTACTCATAATTACTCATAATTACTCATAATTACTCATAATTACTCATAATTACTCATAATTACTCATAATTACTCATAATTACTCATAATTACTCATAATTACTCATAATTTCTCATAATTTTATTACTCATAATTACTCATAATTACTCATAATTATTCATAATTACTCATAATTACTCATAATTACTCATAATTACTCATAATTACTCATAATTACTCATAATTACTCATAACTACTCATAATTACTCATAATTACTCATAATTACTCACAATTACTCACAATTACTCATAATTACTCATAATTACTCATAATTACTCATAATTACTCATAATTACTCATAATTACTCATAATTACTCATAATTACTCATAATTACTCATAATTACTCATAATTACTCATAATTACTCATAATTACTCATAATTACTCATAATTATTCATAATTATTACTTATAATTACTCATAATCACTCAAAATTGTTCATAATTACTCAAAATTACTCATAATTAATTACTCAAAATTACTCATAATTGCTCATAATTAATTACTCATAATCAATTATTGATATTTATTGTATACAGGAATTGAACTTGGAGCAAAATTTGTACCGATGAACAATCTTCTATCGATCAGCGACTTTGTGATAGTAGCTGTACCGCTGACGTACGAGACTGCCGGCTTGTGCAATGCTGAATTCTTTAAAAACATGAAAAATACCGCCGTTTTCGTCAACATAGCCAGAGGCCAGGTCGTAGATCAACCAGCTCTCATAAACGCGCTCAAAACTGGCGAAATTTTGGCTGCCGGTCTTGATGTCATGACTCCAGAACCGTTGCCCCCCACTCACGAGTTATATACGTTGCCCAATGTCGGTAAGTGCCTAATATCCGAGAATTTTACTTGAACAAAACGTATTTTCTCATCATTAAAGTCCACCTGTCACAATTCGCTTGTCATCTTTTACAGTTAACTTGTCATCTGTTACAAGTCACTTGTTATTTGTCACAGTTCATTGGTCATACGTCAGTTGCCATATATCACTTGTCCATTAAAATAGAAGAGGGAAGTGTAAACAACTTGACAAAATAAAATTGACATTAATGACAAAAGAAATCGGGTCACATAAAGAAGCTATTTTTTTCTCTTCTACTTTTATACCATTTACATATCATTTTGTACCAGTAACGTAAAAAAAAACATTTTATTTTAGGGTATTTTACATTTAAAGATTGAAGACATTTGTCTATATCAACTGTTAAAAATGTCAAAACATAAGCGTAGCATTGCCACTTATTTTTTTATTGTTAATAGTCTATTTGTGTTCCTCCCAGTTATATCAAATGCAAAAATGTTGCTGCTACAAATACAAGTTCCATACACTATACAACGATATACAAAACTAGTTACGTTATGTCCATCTATGGTTACGCTTTGTTCTATCATAATCATAATTGACAGCTAAATTTGTTCAACCTCGGGTACACCATGGTATGGAAATGGCAGGTACTTATTTAATGAAAAACTGGCAAAACTGCTTGTCATTTGTTAAATGTCACTTCATTCGTTTGTAAAATATCATTTTTGAAAGTAAATTATATATATTTATTTTTGTTTGGAAGTGACTTATTTAAAGAAAGACTGTACAGTTTATGTGTTAAAGATTTGTTGTCAAATTGCTCGTCATTTGTTAAATATCACTTCTTTTGTTGTATCTAATTATGAAAATAAATTATAGATAAATCTTTTTAGGGTTATTTTATTTTGATATCCATTTAAGGCTTATCAAACGTCACTTTTGCCTGTCAATTGACAAACATCATTAGTTTCTTTATATACATTTTTATAGAAATAATTGATTTATTGTAATTTAATTTATATTTTCAGTTATGCTTCCTCATCTTGGTAGCGCTACTAATAATACGAGGGATAATATGTCAATTTTGACAGCTGAAAATATCGCGAGAGGACTCGCAGGCGATCCATTGATAACGCCCGTAGTGCAATGAACTGATTTATGAACATAATACAGGATAACGTCAAAAAATTGTAATTGCTGTTGTTAACCGATATGTTTTTGTAAATATATATAATTATTAATATCTTGACTGTTTTTTTATTAGGGTTTCTTTCCCGAAGGGTAATCAACGAGGCCCTATTACTAAGCCTCCGCTGTCCGTCCGCGGTTTCCGGGTAGGTTTGGTTGCCAAAGAGTTAATAATAATAATAATAATAATACTCTCCCTAATTCACCCCCTTACGAGTGAATTTTAACCCCAAAAGCTGAGCTTGTCCGGGGAAAGGGACGGCTATTATTATTATTTGCCGTGGCGCTCCGGGGCGACTTAAAGATGATTGATGATGCCATTTGACTTACAGGTGAGGAAAACCCGGAAAACCTCACCCACCATCATGGAAAACCTCACCCACCATCATAAAACCTCACCCACCATCATAAAACCTCACCCACCATCATAAAACTCACGTTCAATTGGAATCGATCTCGATGCCGTGGATTCACAAAATCGAACTGCGAACTATCCTACTGACTGCGCCATTTAAGTTATTTTAGAATCAAAACTTATTTTTAAAAAACTAATCTTTATTTTAAATTAGAATAAAATACTGGTTTACTCGACCGAGGTTAAAGCAAGAATGAATTAAATGTTAACAATAATGATTGACAATGAAATATGTGTTTAAACTGTAAACTGCTGGTTCCATTAGTTAAATAATAATTGTAAGTGGACTGTATAAATCTTTTTATTTTAAATCTTGACTTGGCAACATTCTTTAATAATTAATAATTGTCATTTTTTTTTATAATGTCACAAAGAATAATCAAATTGCATCTACACTGATAAAACAAATATAAACAAAAGTCCGACTCGTACTTGGCTAGTTTTTTATTGTGCGATATTTTTAATAATTTTATAGCAATTGGGTCGAAGAAAGGGATTAATAGTCACTATAAGTATCAAGTATGGAGGATAAGAGGATTGGAATACAAATGAATGAACAGGTAATTAAAAACAAGCGAGTTCAGATTCTTTTATTTTTCTTATCAGTATTTACGCTTCCTAATTTTCATAATACTCAAAAACAGAATAAAAATATAACTCAAATAACACTATATTTCTTATTCATGTACCCATAAAAACTTTTTTTATATTACAATACATTTACAAACGAGTATATTGTCAGTCATTGAAATCATATTCATTCCACTTCTTGTACTAAACGAATCACAACTGTTTTCAGAGACGTAACGTCAAAACTACGTTATCCATTATCCAAACAGGATCAAAATGAATATAATAAATAATATCATTACGTCTCTGTGCCTTTAATAAACACATGCTTTCGATTTAAGTTCAGCGCAAACTAGAAAAAAACATTTCATAGAAAGAAGAAGCAACCTGGATATTTAAACATAGCTAATTCTGATGAGTTCTCCAAGGATCGGTTTTAGACCCAATGGAGCCTCAATATTGATTGATTTTCTGAATTTTAGGTATAACTTTATAACTTTAAGATTGTTGTTTTCACTACATAACTTGCCAACTGTAACACCAAAAATATATTTTTTTTCTACATTGCTATCTATCTTAAATGCCAAACAAATTATTTAAACTATTTCAACCTGTATTAAAATATTTTATTTAAGTATTTATTTATTGTGAATAGTAAATATATTTTAAACAAATGTGAATCTTAGGCGAATAACATACAGGAGATGATAAAAGTAACAATAATTTTTACATGATCTTTAACGATTTCAAGAATGAAACGTATCAAAATTTAATATTAGGATGAAAAAGATAAAGTAACCACTTATTATTTTTAGAAGGGCAGGCTAAGAGGCAGCTTAAGAGACAAATGAAAATATTTTTGCATAATTAGACAGGTTAGAAACCAATTATTTTGGTATGGAAGGCTTAAGGAATAAACGACCAAATATTTGTACATGGGCTGGCTTGAGGAGCAAAGGTCCCTATTATGTGGTTTACGTGTTAATAAGGCTTTTAACATTGATGTTCTGGAGTTCAACAAAAGATCCAAATACAAAGTGTCCATATTTTCCAGAGATTTTTTCTAGTTTGCACCAAACTTAAGATACCTATATTTGCTAACTCATTCTTTTTTTTTTCATACTATTTTACGATTGTTTTGTCTTATTGCATTTTATTTTCATGGTAAAATCACCAACATATGAAATTCTGGAAGTTAAGGAAATTATGTACAAGACTTTGACACTTTTGAACAAATATTACACAACTGCTTAAAATCTATTTTATTTTCTGTTTGAACAAATAATATTATAATTACGTCAAAAGAAAATAGCAGTGATAGAAACATATTTTCAACACTCTACCTAAAAAAAATTATCTCTACTATTTTCTTTTGACGTAATTCAATATCTGGAGAGGTATTAGCCAAAGGAGTAGTTGTTGTCAAAAGAGAAACGGCCACACATATATTGTGACTATGACTTTGAGAATTATTTGATGTACTTTACATCTCGCTCACATTTGAGTTTGGAATTATTTCCTTTTTTAAATATAATAGTGTCTTGATTGTATTTATAATTATTAAAAACTCTATAGTGAATTGCAGCATTGTTTTTAGATGTCGCTATGGGATCTAATTTAAGGCCATTAGTTATTATGATTTTTATAAACTATATATAATATACTAAGGGGTTTTTGGACAGTCATTGCTTTTCAGTAACTTCCCGAATTTCATAGTTATGTTTCTTAATCATCCCATAACCGTTTTCAGTTTTAACCACCGTTAAAACCTAACCTCACTCGTATACAGTCTCAACGCTTCAACAAAAGCCGCTTTTAAACTCTAAAAAAGTGTGTTCCGTAACAGACACCATCACGTTTTTCTGTTCCTGTCGCCAGTACCTGATGGCGTAGAAGGCCGCTATCAGAACCACTACTAGCGCCGTTACGGCCAACGCCGGAAGCGCCAGGGTGTTCAAGTAGGCCGTGGGGAAGCCTCTGTTGACGGAGCAATTCGATTCCTGTTCGTCGTTGCCGGATGGGCAGTGACGTAGGCCGTCGCACCACAAATCTGAGCTGATGCAAGCGCCCAATTCTGGACAACTGAAAAAACAGACATTATTTTAAATTAACATGTTTGTTAAATTTATAGACAAAATTGATTGATATTTAAATATAATAGCTATCAGGGTTAGATGTCATTTTATATTCTTCATTTATTGGTTCATTTGTGCATTGGACACTCAGTTACATTACAAAAAAACACATTATTTTAAAATAAATAATAATTCAATTTTAATAATTTTATTGTTTTCATACATGTTAATATCTATTTTTATGTACGCCACTGCGCTCTGGCTAATAGCGTTTTCGTGCACATGTTTTCGTGGATCTCTTTTATAAGTGAGCCCGAAGGAGTGAGGGGCGTTCTAGAAAGTCTTTGGGTAAAAAGAGATGTCGCACATTAACAGATCCATGAAACGTAGTGAAACAAACATAAAATCATTTAAATCAGATTAATTTGCGCAACGCACACAGTGACGTCACAAAGTAGGGCGGGGCATACGAACTTTTTAATCATTACTATAAAATAAAGACAATACTAACGTCCATTTACGAGGTTGGAAATAGCAAAATTGGAGATATTTTCGGGGAACATAACCAGCCACACAGGTCCCACACGCGCACACGACAACTTAGGAAATAGGTTACTTATTGTAACCAGGGCAAACTACCCGGAAAAGGTGGATAACTCCTACAGGAGGGTATAAGGAAAATTAAAATGTGAAAACTTTTGAAAAGTCAATATTAAACTAAAAAAAGGCCGATCATTTTAATTCATAGTAAAGTTACATGTAGGTTTACAGATTAACGAACGATAGTCTTATAGTTTAATCAGCAAGTAGTAATAATAATAATAAATGAAATAAATTGTTGATGGTGTATTTTTATTATTAAATAAACACTACATTAACAAATTGAAAGTTTTTGACAAGGGGGGTAGCCATGTTCTAACTTCCTTTTTAACCTCCCCCTTTATTTCTATTCACATATCTTCTTGCAAGGGGTACATTTCAGTAAGTAATTTTTATATTTTTTATATTTTTCCCATAAGAAACCAACGAGCATGTGTAAAGATTAGGTTAGATTGTCTGATTTCCACATGCGTCACTTTCTTCTTTTATTCTTCAGTTGCTTCACAACAGTTAACCCAGTCATTTCTTCTTCTTTCTTCTTCCTACAACATCACATACACTTGGTGATTGGTTCATGGCCCAAATCTTATATAATAGATAATAAATAATTCTTCACTCATAGTTTACATCTTATTAACTATACCCTGTCATAAGTTTACCCAAGAATTTTTTCGTTATAATACTTACCACCACCTGTAGAGGCCTTAACTTGACAGGTCTCCTTTCAAAAAATGTTAGTTTTTTTAAAAAACAACAATGTTTAAAATAGGCCTTATCTTTTAATCTGTTTAATGTATGTGATTTGTTTTTGTATACTCTTGAATATTTTAAATGTTTACTATAATTGACTAATATTTGTTTTTTCAAATATTTTTAACTTTTTATTACGTGTAAATCGGTTCATTTTACAATTTATTTTAACCCAAAATTGATGAAACTTGTTTTTGTAGTATTCCCTAGTGGATGGAGAGTATGGTGAGTTTTCTCTTTATTATTTTATGTATCGTTTTGTTTCCAAGTTAACACACCTTACACCACATATTCTCCTTTCCACTAGGCGAGCCTGAAGATGAAGTGATGACACTTCGAAACCGGTCGCACTCAATGTTTTGTTAAACAATTAAACATTGACTTTCCTTGTGAGATATAAAGGACTTTTTCTCACCCTTCACCTTAAAATTGAAAGTTTTTGTTTTTGTTCATATTCTTAGTTGATAAACTGTGAACATAAAAAATTGTTGTGAATCTCTTCGGTGTCGATGACGTCGATGAGAGAATGTTCGAGTTCTGTTGTTCACGCACATCAAACTGCCAATCGTTGTCGGCGTTGCCAGATCTGGTCGAAATATGTGAAGATAGGTATTTGTGATTAAATATATCGCCCTCCTTGAAAGCTCGTA